CCTCCACATTCAAGAGTAGCATTGCTTTCAATCCCAGATCTTACGTAACTGAGAACCTTCTCAAATTGCTCTGAATCTATCTGGAATTTCCATAAGATTCACAAGTAACATTAGTCGAGCTCTCAAGATTGGCCAGAGTTTGAGTTATATTGGAATCAATGAAAAGCAAAAGTTCACTGCTAGTTCAGGAAATGGATTATCCCGAAAACTCAGATTTTATTGGACATGCAGCTCAACAGCTTAATTTGACTTATAATACGTGTGAAGCCACTCTATAGGAAGGTTGCATCTTGTGAACAACGGGTGCGCAATAATGACGAGTATGCTTCTTTATATGGTGGTTTTCAATTAAGCAAAGAGACAGAGTCACGGCTCAGTATCCTACAGAATTGTAATGGAGTTGACGGACATAAAGGAACAATATATGTATTGTACAACTATATCATTGTTCTAGAGGTCCCATTTAATGTGCTGAGAACAGCAACAATGAATCAATCACAGAACTGTTCCAATGGACATACTTCATGCCAATCTAGTTCTTTTTGTGCCTCGGATATATTTTTAAGTATTGAGGGGCGGGGAAGGTGGGGAAAAGAGAGAGATCTCACTTGAGGGCCTTGCTCCACACCCTTTTTGAAGGGATCACCCACTATACGTTTCATAGCACGTGCCTTTGCTTTCTCAATAAACCCATTGTACACACGTTCTTGTACGTATGTACGAGAACCAGCACAGCAACATTGCCCCTGCAGATAGTGAAGCATTTGTCATTGAAGTGTTCAACATAGAAAAGAAGATTTGCGTGAGAAATTGAGTGAACAAACCTGATTAAAGAAAAGAGCAAAATGTGCAAGTTCCACAGCCGTACCAATGTCAGCATCCTCGCATACAATGAAAGGTGACTTCCCTCCAAGCTCTAATGTCACAGGCTTGAGATTGCTTCTTGCCACCAATTCGAGTACAATCTTGCCTGTATCAGTTGATCCTGTGAAAGCAAGCTGCAAAAGAATGGCAATGGCTTTAATGTCGAAAATCATAATAAACAGCCAAGTTTGGCCCAATAGTTAGATTTGTGAAGGACCACATCTTCTGAGTGCCAGTTTGTTTGAGACTTTCCGAAAAACAATTTGGGATCATTGAGGGTCTCGTTTCTTACTCTCATTAAGACAAACAGATTATTGAATCTGATCCAAATTTGTCTGTTTACACCACCAGCCAGTCAAAAACACCATAAAATGGCACTTCAAAACTAAAAATATGAAAAGGTGAAACACTTTGATTAAAAAAGGCAGCCTAGTACACGAGAAGGCAAAAAACTTGGATTATATTCTAAATTTCCTACTGATTGTATTGTGATTATTTTCCTCTACCATAGTAGAAGAAATGTCTCCTGAGCCATGCAAGTCATGATTAAAGAGATGCACCGATAACACAGTCAAGTTCATCACATCACAAAATTTATAGAAAGCTTGGAAAATTTATGCTAAGGACCTTGTCCACATCCATATGACTAGCAAGAGCCGCACCAGCAGTTGGACCATAGCCAGAAACTATATTTAGAACACCAGGAGGAAGACCGGCCTATCAAAAGAATGCAGGTTAGATGGGAAAATGATAGCTTAGAGAAAGAAAAAGACATATCATCTAAATATCTTTCACATCAAAAAAGACAGAAGAAGTTATCAAGAAAGCATAAAATTTTGCGAAAACAGTCGTATACTTGTGGCATTTTTCAAGTACAGCCATGCAATTACTCACATATTAGCCTTTCTCTGTTTTATTGCTTTCTTTCAAAAAATACATTTACTTCAAATTTAAGTAGAACCCTATTTGGTATAAAAATAGGTGCTGGAGCCCAAAGATTCTCAAATTCACCTTGAACAAAATACAAGCCAAAACAATAATACCAACAAAATAATGAGATGACATATAACACCAAACAATGAACACAACTGCTCGAAATTACCTCATGGAAGAGCTTTGCTGCATACAGAGCAGTCAAGGGCGTTTGCTCTGCACTCTTTAGGACAACAGTATTGCCACATGCAAGTGCAGGGCCAACTTTCCAAGCAAACATAGCGAGAGGAAAGTTCCATGGAATGATCTGTCCTGCTACACCAATTGGTTCATGCAAAGTCTGCACATGGTATGGTCCATCAGCAGGAACTGTCAATCCATGTAATTTATCTGCCCAACCTGCATTACATGAAAGAACATTCTTTAAAAAATTCATCCAAATAGTGTACAACTATACTGCTACTGATGATTTTAAGAATCAAATTTCAGGAACATATGAGACTCGATTATTTTTAGTGCTCTTACCAGCATAATAGTGAAATATACGCACAATTATAGGCAATTTGATTTTGGCAGCTTGTTCATAAGGCTTTCCATTATCCCATGTCTCAAGAGCTGCAATCTCATCAATGTGTTTCTCAAGCAAATCAGCAAATCGCAAAATTATCCGTGACCTTTCCTGAAACCCAATAGAGAAACAAGGCAGCACTGATATATAATGATTTTGAACAAGGAAACCATTCACAAATTAATGCAGCAGCAAGTCATAAGCATACAAGCAGAAAATAAAGGGAAAACATTCTTACATAAGCGGTCATTTTCAGCCACGGTCCCTCATCAAACGCCTTCCGGGCAGCAGACACCGCACAATTGATATCCTCTGCATCACCTTCAGCAACATGGGCAATCACCTCCCCAGTCCGAGGGTCCAACGTTGGAAATGTTTTTTCTGAAACCAACTGGCGGGCCTCCTGTATGGATCCTCAACCCCAGGGTGACACGTGTCCTAATAAAGTCATTAGGATGTCTGGAAGATGCCGAGGGGTGAGCCGAGGCATGGCGACAGAGCAGCTGAGTACAACAGCTGACATTATAATCAAAGCGACGTGACCTCGTATTTATGGCGAAATGAGTGATAGTGACAGGACAAATAAATCCGAGCCTGCCGCCAATTGCTATCTGCAAGTCTATGCCTACTGTCATGATGGCTGGAGTATTAATGACTGATGCGCCGAAACAACGCGATTTGTTCTCCTGAGTTCCCTGATCCGCTGAGCTGTCCGTGCTCTGTCGGTGTCAGACGCCAACCTCTTGGATTGGGCTGCTCGACTCGTAGTATAAATGCTCGGCTTGTGGCCGAGCACTTACACCATTCCCCTGACATTCAATTGGAGGAGGCGTAAAAGGGAAGCATTCACAGCACGAGGGATGGTGTCAGATGTGAGATGTCCAGATGAGACTGAAGATCTAGAGCAATCATTGCTAATTCAGGTATAAATATCCCTAAGAAAAATGGATAAAAGTACGCAAAATCAAACCAGAGCACATCTACTAAGAAAAAACTCTTCGATCTTTACTGACTTAAGCTTCGGAGGGGATCCGCCGGGCTCACGCCTGGCCCCCTTTCTTCTAACCCCGTCTTTTCAGGCTTGCCAATCAAGGGATCGCATTGCAGGAATTATCCCGCGCACCAACATAAATTCCAACATCAATTCAAATTTAGATATGCACTAATTTACCTTATGCAGTAACAGCGTAATCAATTGGACAATGCAATGCAATGTCCGAACAAAGCACTACCAGATGCTGAATCCACAAATTTGCCATCGATCAGAAGCTGGGTATAATTGACCTGAACAGGTGGGGTGACTGGTTCCTCTGTGACTGCAGCAGTGCTAAACCTGCAGGTGCCTCTCCTCAAGCTAGAATTTATGCCTGAAGAATTTATGTTTCACAAAATCAGATTCCATGATCTATATCACACACCATGTACAACCCTCCCCCACTTCACACACACACACACACAGATCAATTCATATTATTAATTGAAGTCTTCAGAAATGACATCCTCCTAAATTTTCTTCTCTACTGCAGGATTATTAATTACATTATTTTGGATTTGAGTTGCATAACAAACAAAACACTCAGATTAGTTAAACGATTAGAAACGTTAAATTAAAACAGAAATTGACAATAATGAGGCAAACTTTGTTTCCCAACACTCCCCACCCCTCCAGGATAAAAAAACAAACACAAACCAGACAAATTAAAGCCAGTAAAGTCCTATATGCATACAGCATTCATGTATAAAGAAGGCACAACAGGTCAACCAGACAACACCAACAAACCAAAAAGGATATGCAACACAAGTATATACATATATAACAGAATAACACACATCAATCTACGTATAGAGAGAGAACCAGAAGAGAGTGGTCACCAAGGGAAGCATAAACAGGAGGAAGAGAGAGAGAACGAGAGAGCAAGGAGGAGAGTCTGCGAGCTGCCATGGCCAAAGCTGTACTTCTAATCTACACCAAGTCATAAAACTTATTAAGAGTGACCGAGTGTGCGAATTCAACCAAGACTTTTTATGCACAACCAAACGTCTCCCTCTCTCTCTCTTCAGATATATAAATCTTCTTAAATTTATATCCACGTAACACTTAAATAACTGCGATTAATGTCCGTTATTAAATATGTTAGTAAATTACATCCACACCCTTTAAAATTTAAATATGTTAGTAAATTACATCCACACCCTTTAAAATTTGTAAGTATATAATATTTAGAATCTTCAAGTTTAAAATGTTATATTAAAATTAAAAATATTTTAATCAAAGATAAGATATTAAATATTTTAATTTTAAAATCAAAATTCATGTTCTATTGTATAATTTATTAAAATAAAATAAAAAAATCAATTTTTTTATAAAAAATCATAATTAGTACACAATTATATTATTTATTGTTATAAAATTAAAAAAATCAAACAGGAGGTCTAAATCATTCATAATAGAATATGAATTTTACAACCAAAATTCATATTCTATTACATTATTTATGAAAATAAAATCAAAAATAAAAATTTAATTTTTCTTAAAAAAATAGGATACAATTATACTATTTATTGAAATAAAAAAAAACAATGGGTCAAACTATAATGACACAATATATTATAACTTTAATTTGGGTAATTTTGTAATTTAATTTCATAGTTTAAACAACCAAGTTAAATTATAATAGATACTATAATTGTACACTAGTTGTGATTTTTTAAGAAAAAAACAATAATTTTGTTTTTAATTTTATTTCAATAAATACCATAATAGAACATGAATTTTGATTGTAAAATTTAAAATATTTAATATTCTATTTTTTATTGAAGTATTTTTAGTCTAAGTATAACATTTTAAACTTAAGAGATTTAAGTATTACACGATTATAAATTTTAAGAGATCTGAATGTAATTTATTAATGGATACACTAATGGATATTGATGGCATGAGTCTATCACACGCGTACAAACTTTAAGGGGTTTATATATAATATTTCAAACGTAAGAAGATCTGAATGATTATACAACAAATCTCATGTTTAATTCTCTCTTTTCTTTCTCCGAGAACCATGTTCTTACTTTTTACATCGGTTAATTACAAAAATACCCACTCTAAGTATTTGGTCATGCTATAATCAATTTCTCGAACTTTTAATTTAAACAATTTGCTTTTCGTGGCAATTGGAGATTGTATTGCTTGAATTGTCTGATATTAACTTTTGTGTAAAAAGATATTTTTGAGTGAAGCTTTTTTTAAAAAAAATTAATTTGTATCGTTAAATAAAATTAAATAAAAAATAAAGTACGTTCAATCCTTGTTGTAATTTTAAATATATATAATTTAAATATTTAGGATTTAGGTGTAATGTTAGATAAATTAAGAATAGGGGAATATCTCTCAGCTTTTCTGATGACATCATCTTCCCACGCGCCAATAATTTGGCCTCTCTCTCTCTCTCCCTCCCCATTGATATGCATAACTATCAACCAACACGATAAATTATTTTGAATATTTTTTAAGAATGTCAATCATTAATTTCATCAATTACATAGGAAAATTATGGTATTAAAAGAGGTATTATATCAAAATTATTTTCTATTTTTTTTAAAAAAGATAAATTATAATTTCTTGCAGTGAAAGTTATAACTAAAAAAACATGATCGCTCTCAAAATAATATCATCAATCATGAAAATTACACAACTTTAAAGATAAAGTTACAACTCACACACAAGAAAAGAAGAAGTTATAATTGATCCAAGTAATTCATAATCGGTCACAATATTTCATAATCTCGATCACTTTGGAATGGGTACTTTTTTCTTTTGGATAACTTAATGTTATCCTTAATTACGTGCTTACAACTGAGTGCTAATGTTCGTGATGTTGGGAGACTCGTTACTTCAACTAAATAATGAATTCTGATCAAAAAGAAAAAAAAAATACATATTGAATACTTTTTCAGTTCTTTAAAATATGCATTAAATATTTTTTTTCATCCCTTGATTAGCAATTTTGTCAATACATTGGCAAGTTTTTCAATGTAGTTTAAATATTTTCAATTATGACGGCGTGACATTTGATTAAATATATCCATGGTCTAAAGTATTCATTAAATGTCACAAATGATTTCCTAATTATCAATTCGTAAAATTGACAAATTTGATTGTGGATGAGTCAAAAAGATACATTCAATGTAAAAAGCTTATTTCATTGACTCGGCCCGATTATTTACTCTTAAATTAAAAATTTTTGAGCCGTAATTCACAAAAATTAATAACTGAAGGGTTAATGTGACATTTTACAAACAATTCAGGGACAAAAAAACATATTTAATTATTTTATGATTTTCCTTTTTTCCGCATAGTTACATGCAATTTCTTGTTCCATGCAGAAATAAAAGAAGGGCGAATTGCAATTTGCATCTAAAAGGTTTTAAGATTTTCACTTTATATCTTCAAAAATTTAAATTTTCATATTGTACCTTTAATGTATCAAAAATATTACAATGTGACCATTCTATTAACTTTTTATTAGGTTTTTCATCAGTGTCAATAAGTTAATCTTTAAAGAAAAAATAACATAAGTTTGATAGAAAGGCTATATTGTAATATTTTTAATATATTGAAGGTGCAATATAAAAAATTTAATATTTGAAGATATAAAGTAAAAATCTTGAAATCTTTAGGATAAAAAAGCAAAAAGCACATACAAAAATCGTGTTAGGGAAATTATTTTTGAAACAACATAGTGGACAACTTTTCCAGATAATTTTATATGGACTAAATTTGTGCACCAAATTAATTGTAATTATTGGATCAATGATTGAACACATTGATTTAACGACTGCAAGTGATTTAATGTAAGTTTTGATGCACATAACAGTGTTCAATCTTTTCTTCAAAGATGCACCTAGTTTTTATACGTCGGGATCAGTGACAGAATTACGTAGTGGCTGTGAACCCTTAAAATTTTCAAAAATTTCAACAACCCCTTAGATGTTAAAAAAAAATTCAATGCTTCCCCTTTGGTTTTAGAACCCTATAGATAATTGACTTAATGTATCAAAAAATGCCAAACGGTGTGATATTTCCTAACCAAATGGGGAATGTAATCACTTTGATGAGCGTTTATACAGACAAGAACACAAACTTTCAATGAATCTGATGACTAAAAGAAAAATAAGTGAAATGAACGTAAAATCATGTTACGTATATGGCTTGTATCAAAAGTAATGCATTGGCTCATGACTCAATTTTATTATGGTATTTTGTGAAAACAATATTGGCGAAGATATTTTTATTGATGGACTTGATTACGGCACTGAAAAAATTCCGATACTATACGTTCAAAATTTATTACTTTAATAAGTATTTTTATAACTTTTATGAGTTATTTTACAACCACAAAAATTATCACTTTTGTGAGTATATTTTTAATACTATTTTGGGCCTTTTTACCATTATTATCGTAACTATTTTCTCAATAAAAAATAAAATTATCATTTTTATATGTGATTTACTATATTTGTTAGTATTTTTGTCATTGTTGTAAGTGTTTTATCACTGTTGTAGGAATTATTTTTCTCACTTTTTTTTTGTATGTCACAACAGTTATAAGAACACTCACAAATGTGATAAATATTGGTACAATACCAAAATATTTTTTATCGATGCTGTAGACATCTCCATTATTGATAGTCATTACATCGTACCTTGTTGATAGTAATCGCATCATACCTTATTCATAGTCACATGTATCATGTCCTAGTTAGAAGAAAAACGAAATATAATACAAAAAAGGACCCATATATGTAATTTTAAAGATTGCTTGTCCAAATCCAAATCCAAATCGTATCCCAATATTAATTATAAGTAGTGATTAAGTGTTTTAGTTGGCATAATAAAGAGCAATGCTATGTTCATAGAAAATATGCACAAAATTATTTGTATTATTGGATCAACGAGTCTCATCATTGTTTCAACGATTATAATTAATTTGGTGTAAATTTTAGTGTATAAATTTAGTGCACATAGAATTATCCCATAATAAAATATAAAAAAAAAAGAGAAAAAAAAGGTCTTTCCACCTTGGATTAGATTCATTGTCGATTATTTGAGAGCAACATACTACCTAACATCAATATGCTTGCTTATCTAATAAAGGTCAATGCAATCAAATAGTTTAACAAGAAAAATTTCTGCAGCATATTTTTATCAACAAAAAAATAAAATCAAAACGTGTTGCCACACACATAACAATTGACAAATTATACGAGTATTATGCATGTATATCTCTTAAAATCAATCCAAATCATTGAAAAAAATTGTGATTTTTTTTTATTTGAGATAGAGTTATTACAAAGATGAGGGAATAGTAATATATAATAAAAATATGATAAAAAAATAAATAAATAATGAATAGAATTTTTGACATTATAAATAGGATTTAGTATTGTCAAAGGTAAAGTGGAAATGAGGAATGAAGATGGTAACACCAAAGAAGAGTACATTAGAGTTAAAGACCCACTAGAAAGTCTACTTCACCATGGAACATAAGCATGATTTTTTTTAAAAGTAAAGATTAATCCTCTCGGATAAAAGATTTTGTTATCGGCCTCTATGAATTATATAATTATTGAGATAGATTCTAAAAAAATGACCCTAATGATTGACCAAATTTGATCGTCAACAAACTTTCTCCTTTACAGGACAAGAATGTTATTAAACAAAATATCAACCGAATGATATTTATCATAAAAATTATGAAATGAATGACAACAAAATTGAAATTGTCATTGCAAACGTTAATTTTAAATACATTCAAATCACACACATAATATAGATTGGAATTCTAGTGGAATTTATCCCCATCAAATTACATTAAGCACGGGAACTTATTTATATTCATTTGGTATTTACATTTGAATTTGTAGTAGTATAATCATAAATTT